GCGCCCCCCCCCCCCCCGTGTCCCCCCCCCCCCCAAGTTCCACGCCGTCCTGTTGACCCTCGCGGTCCGTTTCCACGTCCTCGTTCCTCCTGTGGCCTCGTCGCCCCCCCGTGGGACATCTCAGATGTTCTCGTTGACCCTCGTGGTCCTTCCCCCGTGTCCTTGCGTCCCCTCGTTGCTCTTGTCACCTCTCCGGGGTCGCGTTGACCCCCCGTGGGACATCTCCGAGGCCCCCGGTGGTCCCGTTTCCACGTCCTCGCTCTTCCTTCGGAGCTCCCCTTGACCCCCGCGGTCCATCCCCGCGTCCTCGTCGTCCCACCCATGTCCCCTTGTCACCTCCCCGAGCTTCTTGTCCCCCCCCCGTGGCCTTGTCCCCGCGTCCTCGTCCCACCCGGGGGTCTCCTCGTCCCACGTGTCACCTCCCTGAGGTCCCCCCCGACCCCGTTGTCCGTCCCCGTCCCCTTCCCACCCCTTCCCCGCAGGAGCCGGAGCCGTTCCTGCAGCGGGCGGGGACGGTGGGCAGCATGGAGAGCAGCCATTCGGTGCCCAGCATGTCAATCAGCGCCTCCAGCCAAAGCAGCAGCGTCAACAGTTTGGCCGACCCTTCCGAGGAAGAGGAAGAAGAGGAGGAAGAGGAAGAAGAAGAGGAAGGGCCCGAGTTGGCCATGATGCAAGAGGGCGAGCACACCGTCACCTCCAACAGCTCCGTCATCCACCGCTTGCCCGTGAGTCGCGAGAGCCGGACGGACGGGGGGATGTGGGGATGGAATTGGAAGGGTTCCCATGGGTTCCACCACCGCGGGAGAGGTCCTGAGGGCTGAGTCCGCTGTCGTGGAGGGTTTCGGGTGGGTTCTGCCGCCACAGAAAGGGTCTCGGAGGTGATTCCACCACCACGGGAAGGTCCTAGGGCGCGAATCTACCGTCATGGAGGGTTTCGGATGGGTTCTGCCACCACAAGAAGGTTCTCGGAGGTGGTTCCACCACTGTAAAGAGCTTTTGGGGTGGTTCCACCACCATAAGAAGGTCTTGAGGTGTGAATCCATCGTCATAGAGAGTTTTGGATGGGTTCTACCACCACGAGAAGGTTCTGAGAGGTGGTTCCACCACGATCAGGGGCTTTTGGGGTGGTTCCACCAATGTAGGGAGGTCCTGAGGGCTGAGTCGACCGTTGTAGAGGGTTTCGGATGGGTTCTGCTGCCCGCCACGAGAAGGGTCCTGGAGGTGGTTCCACCACCGTAGAGAGATCTAGAAGTGTGAATCCGCCATCGTAGAGAGCTTTGGATGGGTTCTACCACCACGAGAAGGTTCCGAGAGGTGGTTCCACCACGATCAGGGGCTTTTGGGGTGGTTGCACCACCGTAGGGAGGTGTTGAGGGCTGAGTCCACCATCGTAGAGGGTTTTGGATGGTTCTACCGCCACGAGAAGGGTCCTGGAGGTGGTTCCACCACCGTAGAGAGATCTAGAAGTGTGAATCCGCCATCGTAGAGAGCTTTGGATGGGTTCTACCACCACGAGAAGGTTCTGAGAGGTGGTTCCACCACCGTCGGGAGGTTTTGGGGTGGTTCTGCCACCGTAGGGAGGTCCTGAGGGGTGAGTCCACCATCGCAGAGGGCTTTGGATGGTTCTCCCACCACGAGAAGGTTCCGAGAGGGGGTCCCACCACCCCAGAGGGCTTCTGGGGCGGTTGCGCCGCTGTGAGGAGTTTCTGGGGTGGTTTCACCACGGTAGAGAGATCTTAACGAGCGAGGCCGCCACTAACGAAGGGTTCTGATGGGTTCCAGCGCTGCAGGGAGGTCCTGAGGCGGCCCACCACCCTGGGGAGACCCCGTTGTGGGCTCCCACCACGATGGTGAGGTCCCGTTGGGCTCCCACCATGACGGGGAGGTCCCATCGCAATGGGAAGATCCCGGTGGGGTCCTACCATGTCGGGAACATCCTGATGGGGTCCCACCATGTTGGGAACATCCCGATGGGCTCCCACCACGACGGGGACGTCCCAACGGGGTCCCACCACCCCAGAAAGACATCGACGTAGCTCCCACCGTGACGGGGACAGCCCATTTCAATGGGAAGGTCCCGACGTGGCTCCCACCACGTCAGGGACGTCCCGATGGGGTCCCACCACCCCAGAAAGACATCAATGTGGCTCCCACCGTGACAGGGACATCCCGTTGGGCTCCCACCATGATGGGGACGTCCTGTTTCAATGGGAAGGTCCCAGTGGGGTCCC